TTGATAAACGAGTATCAAACGCTGTTCACGTTTCTATTACCTCTTACTAAGTCTAAAACTAGGAGCGTCAGTGCTCAAATAAGACCAAGGAAGAAGACTAAACTGACTTTCCTCGTGATAATCTTAAAGGGCGAAATCTAAGGGCACTTCTGACATCGGAATTTTGATGATGGATTTAACCAAGGATCATCTGATCCTGAGATTGAACATTCACTTCCTGCCAATGGATTTATTTATATCCAAAGTGATGCCGGTCGCAAGATGCGAGGAGATGCACACCGCAATTCAAAACGCGGAAGATGTAGACTGAGTACTTTAGCAAGCTTGAATACTTGTAACCATGTTAAAGTGCGACACGTGTATGCGAGCCACTTGCGAGAAGCACTCTTGCCGCTATGACTTGCACTCGGCGTGCCTCGATGGGCGAACGAGAAGAAGAGTCTTCGTTTAGACATTACGATAGCTTAGAATTTTATATTTAATACAAGGCGGTTGTTGCGACTTAAATTGAATTTTTGATACCTCGCGCGGATGTATTTTAACAAAATGAAATGTCGCGTGAAGATAGTTTTGAATTAATTAAAAGTTTCATAATTTGAATTTCCATTAATTTCCATTAATTTGCATTAATTCGAAATATTATAATTTATATGTAAATTTCACAATAATATATTTTAGTAAAATGTAACATAATAATTGGGGGGGGGTCAAATGGAGAATTCTAAGGGTGCTCGTTACGGAATAAGAAAATATTTCGAAATGCGTTTCCAAGTGAATCTCTCTGAGAAACTGCATCCCGCGGGGACCCTTAAAATTCTTTAATCCGAGAAATCGGAGGGAAGGGGGGCGATATAAATATTAAAAACCGACCTGTTTTGACCTCATCGATGCGCAGAGCCAGCTGATGCATACAGAGACAAAGAGAGAGACAGAGAGAGAGAGAAAAAGAGAGGCAGCTTGCAAAAGGAAGATAAAAGAAGACATTAAGAAAATAGGAAAACTCAAAAATTACCTTCGTGACGGAGAGCAAAGGTGATGGTGGTTGTGATGTTGATAGGATGGTATATTTTTTTTTGTGGCTGAGGGGGTTGCTTTAGTGCTCACCTCTGGGGCTGGTAGACCTCGCTCCGCCCCTGTCATCCCAATCTTCAGGTCGAGGTCGAGGCGAGAGCCGGCCGCCACCGCCTCCGCCGACCTCCTGGCCGCTCCGCACGTAGTGCACGATGGCCGAGGTCACCTCCTTTATCGAGTTCCGTACTTCCAGCTGCTGATTCGTTGTCTGTTGCTGCTGCTGCTGCTGCTGTTGCTGTCGTTGCGAAACAAGTATGAAATCCATTCCGGACAATTGAAGATATATTATGGACAAAATTGACATTTTGACTCAAATTAGATTTCCATCCGGAACATTAACCATTGGTTATTTTAACGTTGAGAATTTCGAGAAGCAATTATTCTCAAGAATATATTTCTAACCGATTCTTCGAAAGTAATTATAATCATTCATTGTTTCGAGTGTTTGGAGAAATACAGAAATTGTTATCAGGGGCGTTTTAAAAAACAAAAGTAAATATTCGCTCGTATATATGGAAAGCAACATAAGTAATCTTGTTATTATCAGAAGATTATAAATAAATTATTTAAAATATATAAATATTTTTACAACATATAATTATTGCTTGACATGATATTCATGAAAGAAGTAATTATTTATTTGTATAATCCGTTAAATAGAGATAAATTTTACGATGATAAATGGTTTTTAAAATTATTACCATCATTAAGGAAAATGCTTTAGAATATAAGAGTCTTAAGAAATGCATCGTGTGAAGTGTTTTTCAGGGAAGAAACCGTGAAAGATACGAGACGACAGGAGCTTTCCTGCCAGAATTTCTAATTTTAGAAAGCGGCGATGCGCTTGCGTACTGCCTGCGGAAATTAAAAATAAATTGCACAAAGAGCCAGATGCAAATCTCGTAGAGGCATCAGAGGGTGGAACGAAAATGAATCGTAAGGGATCGCGCTGTTAGTTTTCGCTTTCAGAATCCATCAACGAGCACGAGTATACGACGAGTGTGCGTAAACGCGCAATTTAAAATGTGTAACACACATTCACCCAGCTTCGTACAATCACGAATATCGATTTACAAATACACTAGAATTCTAAGGCCTGCTGACGTAAGAGAAGTCGTGACGTAAACGGTGACGTCAATAATTTCCACGAGGCATTTTGTATTTGCTGACGCGTTTGCGTTGAATTATATAAGAGAAAGTTGCATTGAATGGTAGATAAAACAAACAGACAATTTTCATTTGCCATGAGATTAAATCCATAAGAAGGATTATGGAAAATCGATAAAACAGAAATAACAAAAAAAAAACCAAGGAATAAGCTGGGGAAAAAAAGGGCTTCTCTTTTTATCATGCACTAACCTTGTTTGCGGCTTGCAGTTGAGGAAGAATACCCTGAGCAAGACGTTCCGCCGGCGTCCGCGGGTTGGTCAGTCGCTCCTGAGAACGCCAGCCCAAGTAGGGCTGCCGGTGATTGAAGGACGACCTGGCCGAACTCGCGGGTGAACTGCCGGCGCTGTTCAGCAAGCTGGTACTCCATCTCGAGAATACGGGGGGTGTGGGACTGGGACTCAGAAGGACACCTGCAATATAAGAAAAAACAAAACGGATCTCCATTATATATATATATATATATGTATATATAGTTAAGCTATAAAACAGCTAACAAAATGAAAACATATCTGTGATTATTCATTCCCTAAAACGTTTAGAGTAAATTGCCACTTCGAAGAGTGAAATCTCACTAATAAAGAGATCGAGAATTGAGCCAAAGTCTTTTTCAAGACTGGCTCAGTTTTCACTCTCTAGAGTGAGATTCCATGAAAGGGTTTAGAGAGTGCACGAATTGCACATTAGATGTTCCCCCTTTTTTTCTGAATTTGTTGAAAGATTTCGGATTTACTATATAACGTTTAATTGTTTTTCAAGAATCAATTACATTTCGTTCGCTGGTTCAAAGAACCAGATAACTCAATCCCACCTGTGGTCGGCTGTCGATTGGAAGACGACGAGAGGGACGACAGGGAGGTGGTCTTGGAGCCGAGGGCGCGCCATCCTCCATGCTGCGACGCGTCGGAGTGCCTCTTCAGCCGGAAGCCGTCGCGGGCAGCGGGTGAATTCTTGTACCAGTCGGGTACATTGAGTCGTTGCAACGATCGCTGCACCCTAAGCTCGTGCTCACTCGGCACGCGCTCGCCCACTTTCTGCAGCTCATTCTCCGGCGGCTGCAATGACAAATTCATGCTCCTGTTCTTCAGCAGTTCCTCAATGTAACGGACAATTATGAAAGATAAATTCTCTGACGATCAATTCAAAGAAATATCTCTCGCTCACGTAAGTTCAGAGATAAAAGTGTCGATAACAATTGGAAAATCCACCAACGGAATCTTAGACCAACGATAGAACGATGAAGGTTCGAACAGAAAAATTGGAATTAATTAGAGCTGACGATAATTAATTGTGACAATTTTAATCCTTGAACTTAGATGGCTGACAAAATTTATTTATCTTGCGCAGTCCATCTTGTGCGTTGTCTATATTACAGATAAATAACTAATCTAATTTCTACAAATGTTTCTCTCAAATTGTTCGTGGTGAAAGAAATCGATTTTGACGAGGAGTAGACACGAATGTTTCGTAGACACCCAGTGACGTGTGACACACACACACAGAGAATATATAATACGTGGCTGCATTCGTGTGAAGCATCGTGCGAGATATCAATCCCGTTCTGCGAAAGTTACAGGGACAAACCTGCGCGAAGGTCGACACGACGAGATCCTCGTCGCAGCTTCTCGCCGCGCTCTCGATCAAAATTCGACACGCCGCGCTATTAACGAACTCGTGAGTTGCCATCATCGTGCCGTGGTCTCTTCTCGATCTATAATCGACCATGCGACGAGTCCTTTGAGACGCGTCAGGAGCGATCACCGATCTGGGAACGACACTCCATTTTATTCACGCACCCGCTTCTATTTTCAGACCACTTTCAGACGACTGAAGCTATATATTGCTAGAACTTACGTGTATATAAAGAATAATTCTAATTATTTCTCTATACGTCATATTATTAGTTCACAATTTAAATAAAAACAAGATTCCGCGGGCAGAGGTGTGTCATATTTTTAGAAAAAAAATTAATGATTTACAAGTTTTAACAGGTATCGGTTCTCGTTTAAAAGTTTGTCACCGCTACCAGCTCCTTCGTATTTCTCATTGTCTCGACTTCAATGCTAATCGTGCGACGGCTACATAACGGATGCACGTGACGAACGTGCTCGTGATTTTCATGCACGGAGTCTAACGGGACTAACTCAGAAAACGAATGGCTTCCACGTCTTCCGTCTTCTCTTCGTCATCGAGCGAGGGAGTAGTTTCATCAAGGCGCACACGTGTGCGAATAATCGACCCAAGGAAAATATTTTTCGAGATCGTTGAATTTTCCTCCGTGCACATGTAGGATAAAATGCGCTCTTTATAAATATTTTGTCAACTGAAACTCCGTTCCTAACACATCCACTTTAAAAAGCAAGCGAAACTAAGCAATCGTATTTTCAATATCAAGTTCGTTAAAATCACCTCGCGAAGATGAGAAATTTACTGAAATAAGTTATTTAAATAATTCATTGCAGAAGGGTGAAATTAATCCAGAAACAGGTTCCAATTTCTAATGCATGTACAATACTTCTCCACGAAATTTTATCTCTCGATAAACTACAACATTCGCTCTAGGAGTTCCATAGGCGTTTACTAAAGCGGCAAAGTAATTGAGTATAATGAATGATATTTCATTATTTTCGACAGCAAAAGAGGGCGTAGCTCTTGGTAGATTTTCCAATCCCGTGCAAACGCAAAACGGACAACGGTGATGCAGGTTTCGGAGTACGAGGCCAAGGCTGAATTGTGTGAGCGGAATAGGAATAATCTGCGTGCGGAAATGTGAGGGGCGTTTACGTAACACGGACGGGAAGAACAAACAGCAATGGGCATTCGTTTCATAGAATCAATTTCGTGAATCGCTGAATTTCTTATATTAATATCATATAAGTCAAAGTCGCCACAAATGCCCGAATGAGACTAATAAGATATTCGATAGTATAACCTTTAGACGTCTTATTAAAGTATGAAAACATGAATCTTCATAAAATTATAATGCGAATATTGACTTAATTAGACGACAAGTCTAGAAATCGAACTGGATCAACGTAACAAAAATAGAACGAGCTTGGTAGAGGTAGAATTGACATTAAAAGCCACAACACATAAAAAAAAAAACTTAAGCAATAAAACGTAAGCACAAGTAAATAAATTGGTCAATCACAGTAGAGACCGTAAAACCATACCGTAAACAGCGGCAAATCCAACAGGTTGATTTCCTTACAGCTTACGTCTTATTGTTTAAGTTTTTTTGTGCGCTTTAATTCATCCAATTAGAGTTATTTGTAATTATTTTCATAGGTCGTCAATTTAACTTGAAAAATAAGGACTGAACGATTTAATTCAAGAAACTAAACATTAAAAATTCAACTCAAATTTATCTATTATTTATTAAATGTTAATGTTATAATACGTTATCAATATGAACGTTGCTTACTTCGAAATTAATCGCAGAAACGAATTGATTTACATTTTGGCACACGTGGAAGTTAAGAATATTATTGGACTTTATCAAGAATGTTATTTAACTCGAAGGATTGGGTTACTATTGCTCCTTTGATGTCTAACAGTGTATATGCTCTAAGACTTCCATATCCCGTTTAAAAGGAAAAGGAAAAGGAAAGAAAAACATCAAGGTTTGATATCGCGTTGCGGACGGACGCATTGCATAACGGACGTCTCGGATGTCGAGACACGGAGATGCGATAATGCTAATTTAAATTACGGGCCGTCGTCTTTTCCGTCACCACGTCATCGCGTAGTCAATTGACGTGAATTAGGGGAAAGCCACGTCAAAGAAGGCGCAGTGCATCTGCCATTAAAGGCGGCCAAAGACCCCGCGTCTCTCTCGTTGCAAATGCATGTGCATCGCGTCAATGCATCCTGTTCTCGCTGCATCCGCGAATGCAACCGCGGCGTCGCCTATCGTTATTTCGATATTAACAAACAGCATCACTTCTCAAACACAATTTTTAATCTACGCGTATATAAAAAAAATATTAAAAAATGTAAAAAATTTATTAATATTTACACGTAATTTTCAATATTTAAAATGTTGACTGCTTTTCATACAGCTGTGTTATAGTAATGAAACAATTTTAACTTACTTTTTCAAATTCTAGATTTCTGGAAAAATTAATTCTACGTGGCAGAGCGATGATTTTTTTTTTTTTTCAATTTTACAAGAGCTTTGAAAATTCCTACCGCGCGCATTCTTCATTTATATGCCTTAGTTATTCAGCTACGTTCGTATGTTGATCGCATTAACTATTCGTCAAAATTCCATACACGCGCATAAATTGTAGTGTAACACAATATAATCTCGTGGATATAGTTTTAATAGTTGTGTACGATCGATTTTATAGTCATATAAGGAAAGAGGGAAATCTGCGCCGAGAGACTCTGCCGCCTTTTATCATTCATTGTTAACCGCCATCGATTGCAATTGTTTTCGAAGGCTGGCCTTAATAATACACCCACACCAATACGGCGGAAGTTGCAGAACTTTTCCGCAGCCGCTTGAAACTTTGGAATTGCGAGCGGCGGACTCGTCTTATGTCTAAATAATTCCTACCGTCTTATCATAGAAATGTTGGTTGAAAGTATATTACGATAGCGAACTAAAGTCGAGAAAATGAACAACTGGCATGGTCAAATCACTTGATAAGAGCGAAGTTATCGATTCACACAAAATTATAGTATATTATTCGTACTTTAAAGTGGCTGATAACCGAGAAGCTAGCGGTATAATTTACACAAAAATATATTATTTGTATTTTAAAGTATTATAGAAGTCAATATATTAAGCTTATTAAATTTTATTTTGTAAAACAATAAACCAAAATAAGAAGTTTATTTTCTCTTCTCTTGATTTTTCAATCATCGAGTTGTTCCGTTCCTTTTTTATTTTATTTCGAAAACTTATAATTAGATTGTAATAAACATAATTCATTTAATGTATTTTTCAATTGATATTTGCTGAAACCGCGAATGCGTTTTTATCTATATAAAGACCTTTTAATAATTCTTAATTCTCTCTCTCTCTCTCTCTCTCTCTCTCTCTCTCTCAGAAATTGTTAAAACATAACAGACCATTATTATTATTTAAAAAAGTAGCTTCGTCACGTCCAGACTTTTGACGAAAATATCGCCTATGCGAATTTAACCGCTCATTGCGGTTCGCACATGCGGCACGCATATGCTCGCCGTGTGCAAATACACCGACACGGAATACTCATAAATGCGTGCGAACGAACCCTCGCGCAAAGTCGCACTTCGCGGAGAACAGAAAGGTCGTCGTTTTATTATATGCGAAAGGCACAACCATAAAGAATCCTACGTGCAACTTTTGTTCCGTAACTTTCTAATTCAAGGTTTTTGCGTGCATTGATGCGAATCTCTCGTTCGATATGATCCCTGCGCTTTGCGATCGATGAAAGAACGTTAAACCCTTTATTCATGGAATCGAGCCATTAGTAATAGTTGATACATAAAATAATAGGTAGGTCTCATTAATCGTACGATACGGAACCGGATAATTCGTGAAACATTTATTTCCCTAGAGAGAGACTGTTTGCGGAGAGTTAGCTTGGTGTAAAGTTGAAATAAAATATTCAATTATTACGCGGCGTTAAGACTATACGTCACTCAATTATCGGCCCCTCGGTGTTTACGACACTGCACATGGCACAGCCCGTATCGTAGATACACGTGGGCACGAAGAGCGCCCACACGTCGCAGATTCTCGTTCGGCCTTCGACTCTCTTGCTCGCCGTGCGTATTAACGTTTCACGCAACTGCCTCGTTCTTTCACCGCCCCAGCACGTAAACGATCTAACGCAATCGACACCGCGCGACTTTACGGAATCGGCGATCGTCCGAAGAAACAACGCTATCGAGAGACTTTCAACGACAAGACTATACCTCTCTAATTACTAGCGCATTCGAGAATTATGAGGATCATCACTTTTTTATGAAAGGATATATAATTGTCACAGCTTTTTACTCTAGTAATTAATAAAAAGTATTCATTTAAAAAAGTGCTCATTTTACACGAAATTTTTCACTT